ACAGCAGACATCCTCACAAAGGCGTTCACCAACGCTGCCAAGTGGGAACACGCCCTTAGGCTGATCGGCATTGGGCAAAAGCTTGCTGACAGCCCGGTGCAGGCCGGAGCCCCAACGAGAACGGTGGTTTCCAAAGTCTTGCAGCAGGGGGGTGTTGCACATGCGAACACACATGATAGGTTGCTTATTGAGTTTTGTTGTTCTGCTGATTCTAAGCTTGGGCAAACGCGCAGCGAATCGAAAGGATGTAAAGTCATACGCGTCACCATCAACGAAGATGCAACCACAAGCAAGTGTATGAGGTGGCTCGACAAAGAAATCAACACCTTCAAACAACAGCACCCAAAAGCAAAGGTACTGCTGTACGGCAGTTTGCCCTGCACGGGCGGGAGCCCATGGGGAAACGTCAACAAGCAAACTGAGGAAGGATTGGAACGCATAAAAGAGCAACAAAAGGAGTTTACCAGACTCTTCAAGAGCTTCGCAAGGCTCGTGCGTGACCACCTTGACTCAAGAACGTTTGTTGCCTTTGAGCTTTCCCGTCGTTGTCGCTACTGGCATTGGCCGTCGGTGTTGGCTTTCATCAAACGCCACAACTTGCAAGGGTACAACTTCGATGGATGCATGTTTGGTGTGCGCGATAATCACGGTAATCTTATGCGTAAGAGTTGGCACATATGCACAAATCTTCATGAGCTTGCATGTCTTGAGCAATACATGTGCACACATGATCACACTCATGGACAAAGCAGAGGCAAGTCATTGAAGAGTGCTGAAGGTTACACGTTTGAATACACTGATCTTGTTCATCGCTGCTTTAAGCATAGCAGCTGAAGTCATTCTGCCGCCGTCGCGCAGCGCGCCCTGCCAGCGATCATTGTTGATCACATCATGTCGGCTGACCATGACATGCGCAGGGAAACCTTGGACATCTTCGAGTCGCATTTTCGGCAGATTGTGGCCTCTGGCTACTACCTCGAAGACGGGTATTCTGAGGATGTGGACGTGGTGCTGAATGGCGTCCTTGGCCAGCACACAGCACATTCCGTGCTGGCGGGCCTGGTTGAGAAGAACCCATGGCTAGAGCCGGAGTTGGGTCCATTGATTCGGACCTCACGGTATGATCTAGCCGCCTTCACAGGTGTGCCCACGAGTCAAGACTACCAAACGGTACACATCTTGATCTCCGATTCCACCTTGTGCTTGGTTAGCGGTTCGAAACGCCAACCCCAGAGGTTCGATCTGGCCGACCACTTTCAGGCCTATCGTCCAACTTACTGCAAGCATTTTCATCACGAATGCCTCTGGGGTGCAGAGTTGCCGTTTCTGTTGAAACGAGCCCGTATTGCCGTGAGGAACCTCAAGCGCCAGTTTCCAGGCTGCATGCTGCTGGTTGGCGTGGTATGGTCCGGCAACGAGCTCATCGGCAAGAAAGGAATTGAAGCTCAGACTTCATGGCCCTTCGATCATCCTGACGGCGACCACTACATGGAGCTACAGGAGAAGGTGCAAGAAGAGCTGGTTGGGTTTGCCGCCGATATGTTCCGATACGGTGTGCACTCGGCCGCTCTCATCAGCGCGCCCGATCCTGAGACCTACAACTTCACGCGGCTGGGACCCTACAGCGACTGGTACAACCGGCTGAGTCAGTGGTTCCAAGACGAAGTGTATGGTTCCCAGATCGGTAAGTGTCGCTTCCGCCTAGTCAACATCAACGTCCTCAACACCCGCATGGACTTGCGTGACCAATGGCATTGCGAAAAATCAGACGAGAATGCAAATCATATGTTCTCTTTTTGTCAGAGTGTATTTCACCTGCTCATGAGACTCTACGTTCTCGGAGATATCGCATTGGAAGTAGCTGCCACCAGTCCGATGAACCGTCCGCTTGGTGGGCTGGAACTTCGTGATGATCGCCTCCCTCCACATCAGCGATACGAAGAGCTACTTCGAAACCTTGCCGATGTCCGCCACAAAAGGGCAATCGCTGCAGCCGAGCTCACCGCTCGCGCCCTTACCAAGAAGGACGTCGCTGCGGAGCAGCCAAACCGTGCTGCGCCGATTACCGAGGCAGACATGGCCGTCATCGATGACGAGCCCGAAGGGGAGGAAAATGATCCAGACCTTTCGGAGATTTTCGTCGCAAATGACGCCACGGCAGAAAAGATCCTCCAGCAACGCCGAGATGTCATGGAGGAAGAGCAGGAGAAGATCGCTGCAGAGCTGGACATCAGCCGAGAAACCTATGAGGGTCGGCTCCAGACGCTTGAGGAACTCAGCCATCGTGTTGAAACCGGCGAGAACCCGGCAGCATGGCTCGACATTGATGCCATTGATGATGAGGAGGTATCGCCATATGAAGAGGTTGTGCCAGAAGAACCTGAAGATGAAAGCGCACCTCATGGCGAAGAAGGTTCGGCCACCGTCAAGGGTGAGCCCGAGCCTGAAGCACCCTCATCGCCGCCGGCTGCTGCTGAAGGCCACGTTGTGTGCCCTCAGTATCTTGCAGATCAATATCCCGAGTATGCATACCGGATGGCCGAGATCGATGGCGCTTTCCAGCAAGTGGTCCAGCTTGGTGACAAGCAATTGCCGCTCCACTTTGCGAGCGGGTGGGAGCTCAATGGCGGGCACCTTTTCTTCGCGAAGCCCCTCAAGGATTGGCTCACCCAGCTATCCAAGGTCGTCCGACAACACGACCAATTCCTGGGACTTGAGGTCGACGAAGATGGCTACGCAGACTTGGATGAAGTAGCCAGGTGTTTCGGCCTGAATCACCGCAGTGCCCCGCCGCTCACCGTCAAAGACTTGATCGCCATAGCAGCAAAGGACAAGAAAAACCGATTCGAGTTTTTGGGCATTCGAGAAGGGCACAAACTCGAGGAGAAGGGCGTGGCACTATGGCCTCTGAAGATGCGCGCCGCTGCTGGCCAAAGCAAGCACGCAATCAAGAGCGCACAGGACCACTACAGATCGGCAGCCCTGATGTACTGCAGTCCTGCGCTCAGGCCAGAAGCCAAAGCTCCCTTCATTGGGAAGCCCATTGCCAAAGCGGATGAGATCCCTGTCTTGGCCTACCACCGCACAAGGCCAGCATGCTGGAAGCGGATCATCAAGGAGGGCCTCATCCCAGGCGGGGGCGAGTTTGTTGGCAGTGATCGAGCCCATGTTTACCTGGCTGCAAGTCGCATTACGGAGACCGACTATCAAAGCGGTCTCCGCGGTAAGCACCCCATTCAGCTTACCGTTGCACTTCGGGAAGCAGTTGATGGCGGTCTCATCTTTTTCCAGAACCGCTCCGGTGGAATCATGACGGTTGACACGGTACCTCCAGAATACATCGTTTCCGTCGAAAACACCGAAAGCCAGTCCACACTCTGGACCAGGGTAAGTGCCGTAGGCCTACCTGAGGCAGCACCAGCGGATGGAGGTGAGAGCCGGGCCGCCATCACTGGCGAGCCCCGGCCAACCGCAAAAGCAATGCCTGTTTCCCTGACTGCAACCAGCAAAGCGGCACCTGCAAGCAAGGCTGCACCTTCGACTCCGCCAACTTCCATTGCAAATGAGGCAGAGCAAGATCGACCTGCAGCATCCTACAGCGGGTACGCTCCGCCTGAGCCTGCGGGGCCACCACCTGGCTTTGATGCACCGATCACCGCCCCGACGCTTCGAAAGGGACGAAAGCTGACGGTGATCCAGGTCGAGTGCAGCCAGTGCAAGGGTCTAGTCCTCAGGGGCATGACCCACTGCGACATTTGTTCAGCCGAACTTGCCACCAACACCGAGCTGCCGGAAGAAGCTGTCACCAGACTTTCAGTTCTCCGAAAGCAGCAGCTTGCGAGGGCCGGCCTCGCTCGCACTGAGTGCCCAGTCAGCGACTACATCAAGGCGGGCCTCAATTTGCGTGCGGTGTCTGCAAGCGGCCGTGGAAACATGAGCCCAGAAGCAATTATGATCCAAGACGCTCGCAGCCGAATGAAGCGTGCAGACAAGTGTGGCTTCCAAAGCATCGAGGACCGCTTCGAGCATGACGTCCAGTTCATGGAACGAATGCTGCAAACGGGCTATGACTATCGGGCAGCGCAGCGGCAGGATTGGCTTTGCCATGCTCACTTGGCGAACCCGCCGCGCAACAAAGCGCAAGTCAGCCTGGGCCTTGGATATGACGAAGATCATTCTCTGGCACGGCTGGCCTACATCGACGTAGTGCCCGATCGCTATCCACAAGCTATGGATTACATTCCAGAGCAATGGTGCGTGATCTATCGCACAAACATTCTCTCCTTGCGTGAGTACATCGAGTACATCAACTCACCTGACTCCCATCGTGGCCTTTTGGCTTGGGACGGCGTGCATCAGATGAGCCAATACTGCGCATTGGAGGAGCTTCGCCAGCTATGCCATGACAACCTCTCCGCTGCCAGGCGTGGCGTGGTCAACAAGCAGACTCAAGAGCAGCGCCAGCAGCAAAGCAAGGGCAAGCGCAAGTCCTCTACCGGAGGTGATGGAACTCCAGCTTCAAAAGCAAAAGGAGGTCCGCCACCCTCACCGGTGAGCCCACGTGCATCCGG